ATCAATGATGTCATTCCCCAACAGCTGCCCGAGTCATCTGTCTCATCGAGTCAACTCATTTGGCCCTCTAATTTGCCTGAGTTGACTTGGTGTCCAGCTGTCTTCCCTCAATCCCCGTGCCCGTATGACGTCAAGCTAACGTCACCCTTCTGCCATCGTTCCCAGCGCCCGATTCCACCTCACCCACACGAGTCGACCCAGTGGAACGAGTCCACTCGTTCAGCGAGCCAGCAACACGCGTGACGTCAGCCGCATTGTGCTGACATCACGCTGACTCCAGCCGCCGTCGGTAACTGTGTCACGCCATCTGGAATCTCCCCTTGCTCGATTTTTGAGCCAGGGCACCTTTTTGTGCATAACTTTTCGCCAACAACTCCGAATTTCACATAATTTGTGTCCACAGATTCAAAAATTTCCACACTACTCTGCTACGACATTAATTAAACAATTCAATGATTTTTTTTTTTTTGCTTGTCTCACCCAACAAATATCACGGGGGCCTGTAAAATTTTAAACAAAAAATATAAGTAATTCAACTTGAGAAACCCGAGAGCCAAATTTTGTCGGGGGGCTCGCGGCTCAGGCCCTCGCAATGTCACAACTTCCTCCAATAATTTTGGCGTCTGACCGTCACCGTACCACAACCGGGCCTCCCTTCAAGAAATATCATCACCTAACTTCCGCGCTCGCTTCTGCAAGATCCCTGCAGCCGACATAAAAATTTCCTGCTACCTTAAAATTCAAAGAAAACAGGAAAATTATTTCGTCTTCGAGCGACTATTCCTAGATTACTCCCAGGCATACCCACGGGCCCGTGGTTTAACCTGGGAGAGGGGGGCTTAATGATGTGCTTAGTTGGGCTTTAACCCAAAAATCGGAAGAGGCTCGTCAAAAGGGAAGTCCATGAGTAACCCACAGAACGTGATCACAAAGAGATGGGTCTTGAAACCCCGGTTTATCGAGCTCATCATCAAGCAAATTTAATGATTTATGTGTGACTTTGCATATCAAACCCTGAAATACCGGATACGATGATTTATGCAACCGGATTAAACTGCATTTTGAAAACTCACCCTCATCTTGGTACGTTGATACTCTACCCCGGAGTCGAGCTGATATTGAATGGTGTTCACAGCGCCGGTAGAAGCACTAATCCAACCCTTAGACGATTTATTATGAGCACTTTCCACCCTGTTAATAGCCATTAAAATAACAAAAATAATTAAAAACGCCCACAATAAAATATAAAATACAAGACGATAATGAAACCGAAAGTACCTATTAGTCGTCGTGTTCCCAAAATGCAAAATCTTATTAGTCCATGCTTTGACGAATTTGTGCTTGTATATTAGCCAAGTATCGTTAAGGTATGATATCAATTTGGGGTAACAACCATAGCGTCTAACCATTTCCTCGTAATTTTCATAGTAATCTTCTTCTGTTTTTGATTCCACTAATGTTGCCCAATGTATGCGCCGGAATATAAGTCCGTGTTTAGTACTACCAATAAATCTCGATGCATTTTTTTCCACGTTTCTATTGATATGAAACAAACACAAGAAATGTGCGGAATCTGGAAATATTTGGGGCATTGCTTTAATGAGTCCTAATTCACGATCCGTCAATATCACATCAGGTACCAGCCCCCCAATGCACATTTCAAACAACTCAAAGCCCATTCATATGTGTCTGCGTCTTCATGTGACATGAAAGGAACAACAATTGTAAAATTGTAACCAACAGGGGTGATTCCAACTATTTCCAGAAGTGGCATCTCATACCTAAGTAAATACATAAATATCAAATGCAATCAATGTACAATAACACAATACTAAATACTAATTAACAACATACCTATTGGTTTTGTAAGTGCAGTCCATCAATATAACGCGAGAGAATAACCGCAAAAGTTTCATTGAAATAGGAGCAACGAACATCAAATCAGTAGGTGTATCATCAGCTTCATTACTTCGATACCAATATTCATATCCAGATTCTTGAAGGTTCGACATCACGTGTTGTATCACAGTCTTCCAGTAACAACCCGCATTTTCATAAGCATTTATATATGAACATATTCAATACATAGTAAATACGAATATACGTGCATTTTATGAATCGAGTAGTGATTTATACTTTCTCTACGTGTTTATGTGATTTAGATACATTATAGTATTTTTAGAAGTAGACATTATTATTAATTGAGTAGTTGATTCTAATTATGTGATTTAATGAATTTAGTGACCATCTATGTAAGTCATGCTAATTGGGATTGTATATGTGCATATATATTTTATGCTAATATATAATATATGACGTGGACTTAATTATGTATGTCATATTATGTGAATGTGTATGTTTATAATATGATATATTATATGTGCTAGGATTTATTTATGTGTGTATATATGTATGTATGTTATATGTGCACATTTATTTGATGTATATGTATGTGACATACATGACATAGGATCTCTCTCTCTCTCTCTCGGTTTGAGCATAGGAAATGCCACACCATTTATCTTTTATTATTTTAATATTATTTATGTATAGATGTGTATATGTATAGGTGTTGTGTGTGCATGTGCTTTGTGTTTTGTGAAAATACCGTGTGTATAAGTTGAGTGTGTTGGGTTTGGTGGTGAGTTTCCAAGTGTCCAAGTCCTCCTAATTGCTATCTACACCCTCTTGTTTCTTATATTGCAAGTAAGTCCCTCTACTCTCCTATAAATAAACCCCTCCTCTTCACATTCTCTTCACACCAAAACACCAGCCAAAAGGCTCTCTCCTCTTTCCTTCTTCATCGATCAAAAGCCCCCAAGAAGAATTCTCTTCTTGCACTTCAAGAAGCTCCCATCAAAGCCCCTTCCTCTTCTCTCGAAAAGAGAAACTCCATCTTCTTTGCTCAAGAAACATCCCCTTCACATCCTTCAAACTCAGCCCCAAAGCCATCCAAGAACATCCAAGCCAAACCCGTTGAAAATCCACCGAGCCTTTGGTTTTCTTACTCCTTCATCTTCGATTTATTGCTCTTGGGTAAGGAACTTGGTCTTTACTGAAATAATAACCTAATTAATATAAATTATATGGGTTTTAATGAATTATATGTTTGTGGTTTTAATTTTGGGCTTTAGAAGATTAAGCTCTTGATGAACACTAATTGAATTTCAGTTTCGTAGCCTCTGTTTGTATTGCATGTCTCATCGGGTAATACTTTTGATAAAATTATGAAATTTTATAGTAGTCTAGGTCTTTAGGTTAGCTGCATTTAGATATAAATTATGCATAAATCGGATTTGTATTTAGTGTGTTATGAACCTTTTTCTGGATCCGCACAGTTTCGGAGTCATCCACGAGTTATGTGTTAAATAGCGTTTTATACTAATCTTATTGAGTTGATTCCACTTGAATATGATTATAAACTTATGAAACTAATATTATACAACATTTTGTAACTTTTGGATTAAGTGATGAATTATTTGATATTTTTAAATTTAGTGGATCTGTTCTGAATTTCTCGTTATGCTACTGCACTAAACTGATAATATCTCTTACATAGATAAATTTCTTCATAAACTGTTTTAACCCTATAAACTAGACTTAGATATGAACATGTGTTCGAAATTTCATCAGGTTTGGATCTACGGTTTAGGAGATATGAATTTCTGAAGTTATAGTGCCTAAACTGCCAAATTTGTTTTGATCAAAGATGTAGATATAGATCACTAATGAATTTTCAGGTTTTCAGACTCGGAGTTTACTGCATGTTTTACAGATGCCCTGTTTTCTTAAAATCACAAAATTTCATGGGTAACTAGATCTTTCTGTTCTCTTTAATTTCATATATTTTAATCATCAATAAGATTTCAGATGATTAAGATATGAAATATTTACTAAACATGCACAGTTTTTGAGTCAACTGAGGATTTGCTTTTAAAATCGATGTTTTCCTACTTTGATTTCCTTGATTACACTTGGAATATATTTATAACCTATAAAACCATTTTTCTGCAAAGTTTTACAGTGTTTTAACAAAAGGGTGATTTTTTGGGTATTTTTAAAGTGGTTGGTTCTGTTTCTGAAAGTGTGACCACACTACTGCACTGTTTTACTCATTTATCTTAGTCTACTGATTATTTTGGAAAACTGTTTTAAATGAGTCTTTTAAAATGATATAGGAGTATTGTGTTAAAGTTTCAGAATTTTTGAAGTTATGGTCTAAGAGAAATGTATTTTTGAAGTGAAAGTGTCAAAACTGTCCGATTTTTCTGTAAGTAAACTACTTGAATTAAAGGGTCCTTTGTGAGCATGGTTTAAACTCTTGAGGCATAACTTAACATAATAATTGAACATAGATGAAGTTTCCCATCATTATTGAGCTACTTCTAAGAAATATTCTTAGACTAATATATGATTAGAACAATAGGTTGTTCTTCGAAATTACTATGTGCTAGTACCTATACGGAATTAGATTTCCGATGGTTCCTTAATTAAGAAGCGTTGAATCTCATTATGTGTGTTTGAATTACGTGGTTTACTATTGTGGGGTATAAGTATGTATATATATATAAGTATATTTATATGTATATCGATAGTTTAGACCTATGATGTTATTAGCGTACTCCCTTCGGGTTGAGGAAACTTATAACCCATAGTTATAAATTAGAGTATATATGTATAGGTCTAAGTATATAAATACGTATAAGTGCCTATGTGTATATACGTGTACAAGTATATGTGTCCTTATTACTAATGTTTGATCTCTATGTGCTTACTATAATCTCGAAAATTACTTCCGAATTATGTGATTTAATTCCTTCGAATTACGTGAATGATATAATTGGAATTATTATCGTGTTGCTATTAAGATCTTTGACTTTCGTGCATTCATCGAGTCATTAATTGGTATTGCATGGTCTACTATAGAAAACTCAAAATTGTAACGTTGCTACGGTTGAATAGACACGGGATACGGGGGGCCGGTATCCCAACAACAGTTACTATAGAACAACAGGGTGGTTAGCTCCCACCGAATGACCAGACTCAGCATATAAACATGTGCATAGCTGCATACGAAAGATTTTGAAAGAAAAAATGGTTTTAAAAAGAGTTTTAAAAGGGGGCTATCGTTCTAAAAAGGGGAACTTCGTTGAAATGGATATTTTGTCCAAGACGAGTTCCAAAATGAACTAAGAAATGATTTCTAAAGGAAAACGAATCCCCACATGATTTTCAAAGTGAATTTCAAATGGCTTTCAAAGCAAAACCAGACTTTTTATTATGTGCTCATATGTGAAGTTATATGTTTAATTATTTGTGACGTGATTATATGTCGTGATTAACGTCGATGAAATACTATAACATAATACAACTATGACGTAAAAGCCTTAGACATAAAAGAACATAGACATGGACTTTAGGACTCCCATAGGTCGTGAGTGACACGTTGAGAGATGCGTGAGTTCGTCAGGCCAACGTCCTTACTGAGCAAGTGGTTGAGCTCATGCTTTTATTTATATTCCCTTTTCAGGTTGTCGAATCAACTAGGAGGCCGGCGGAGTGGAGTTCGAGGAATCGCTAGCCTTGGTGCCTTGACTGTTTTACCAGGATTTTTACCACGTCAACGATTTCTTAAAATATCTAATCAAGATATCATTCTTGTACTCTGATTTGGGAACCCAGTCTATTAAACGGGGGTATCTTAAATAAAGTTTATTTTCCTTCCGCTGTCTTACAAGTGTTTTCCAAACCCCGGTGATGTTTTATGTGGATTCTTCCGCCACATTAAGATTGTTTTCAAAATCCCGTTCATGTTATGGTACACCCTCTATGAAAAATCTTATTTTACGATTGTGGGTTAAATTTAAAGTAAAGAGAAACGGATTTATAAATTTTGTGAATCAAATTGGTTTTCTCAAAAGTTCAAATTGGATCCGAAAGTTTTTAATAAAGTCCGTGTTTCTAAACTTTCTATTAAATCATTGAGGGTGCTACACTTCCCCGCCATATTCTTTTTTTTCATCTTCTCAAGTTGGTTGTAAATATGTTTCACACTCGTTGATGTCTGTAGATTATCCTTCCTCAGTCGATCCATGATTAATGCCGGCTTCACGTGGCTCCTTCTAAGTAACTTCACTACCTCGTATTCTTCTGGTGTCAAACGACTATCCGGTCCTTGTCCGGTAAAATACGGTAGCGTCGGATGAGTGTGGATGCCATTTTTCAAATTTATTCGCCATAGTCCATCGTTTCGATTTTTGCTACAGTATATACGAAACGGACATCCACATTTCTTTGTTCCCACATTCCGTTGCTTCACACTTTCGGTTCGTTTTTCACGTCCCTTCCCAGACACATGACATCTAATTACTACATAAACGTTTTTCTGCTTTGAAGTTACTATCAATCGATGACCATGAGTAGCAGCCATTTTTTTTTGCCCATGCCACTAATTCTTTCCCAGTTTCAAACTCAACACCCACATTGAAATATTGACTGTGATCCTCAGAAGTTGTTGGTGTGTCTTGAGGAACATCAAAACACATGTTGGGATCCTCATACTCGTTGTCATATTCAGTTCCAAACTCATCGTCAAAATCACCTTCACTAGCCTATTAAGGTATAACAAATAATAATTAGTATATAAATAACAATATAAATTTAAAAAAAAATTAATTTAGGGTTCCCGTGCCCTAGGGGACGATAGTTCATGGTTCCCGTCCTCTAGGGCACGGGAACCACAAGACTCCGTCCTCCAAGGCACGGGAACATGGTGTTCCCGTGCTCCTCAGCACGAACCTTAGTTTTTTTTTTTTTCTTTTTTCCCGTGTTGTGCAGCACGGGAACCCCAAATTTTTGGGGTTCTCGTGCTACACAACATGATATTGCCGCGAAAAATTTGAACTTTCACTAATTTCTTTGATTTTACCTCGAACAAGTCATCAGAATCGTCCATAATGTTATTTGTTGTCGTCGGACAGTCGATTTATCAAACAAAGTCGAAAATTTTAATTTTTCGACTTTTTTTAGTTGAGAGCGTTTTGAGTTTTTGAGAAAGTTGAAAAAGTTGAAATGGAAAGTACCGCTGCAAATAAGCCAATTTCAGTAAAAGTCCCGCTACAATTAGCAATTCAGAAAAATATCAATATATGTTAGAAGAACTAAAATGTGAAAATTTAATTTATTTATTTGCATCTTTACAAGAAAAAAAATTATTTAAAAATATAATATAGTGGCCCGATTCATTTTCAATTTAGAATAGGCCTCATTAAATCATAGGGTCAGATTAAGTGGCGAAGCCATGATTTCATCATCGGGGGCGAATATACATTAAAAAATATAAATAAATAAAACGTAAATAAAAACTTAGGATTTTTTATTTTTTTCACTTTAATTGAATTTTGTGTGAACTAATTAAATAGTAAAAAATAAATTGATTGAACTTAATAAATATATAGGTGTAATATAGTGGATTTTTTTTTTCAATTCAGGGTGGGCCTGAGTTCGAGTCCACCCTGTTTAAGGCGCTAGTTCCAAGTATCAATTCGTAATTTTCTTATCCTACTCGTTAAACTCGTTTATTATTTTTCTTCAATTAAAAATACTTAATTCTTTTTTTATATTAAAGTAAATTATTAAAAATTACAATACTTGGTTCTTGCTTCTCTCCACTGATCTGAGTCTGATGAATGACGGTCTTGTTCGAACTTGGTTCTAACTGTTCATGTGAATTATAATCTATAGCTACAATAATACATAATGGAGTCGAGATATGTGGATTTGTGACTTAATTAGCAAAACGGTCAATTATGTGTTCTACAAACATAATTAAATGGATCATGTAATTCTTGCATCAACACCAAATTTTATAAATCTTCAAAAATCAAGATGCACTTCTGGTTCCAAAAAGGTCCAAAAAATTGAAAAAAAAAGGTAAATTTCACTTTCTCGCCTTGTACTTTGGTTCGGTATCACTTTATCCCCTTCCACTCTCGAGTGCAGCGATTTGCACCCTGCACTTGAAAAATTGTCTCAATGTGGCCTTTGTCGTTAGTTTTCAGACTTTGGACTTTAACACTGTTTGATCGATCTGAAAACTTACAAAAAAATCACTTCTCCTAGTTTAATAATTATTAAAAAAATAATAATAATTGTGGCTGGCATCGTGAATTATGTTTTCTTGTTGTCTTGAATTTCTTATTACTATTATTTTTTTTAATAATTATTTAAACTGTGAGAGGTTGCGTTTTGGTAATTTCAGAGCTTGGATCAAACGGTGTTAAAGTCAAATATCTGACAACTAACAACGAGGGCCACATTGAAATAATTTTTCAATGGCAGGGGGCATATCGATGCAATCGAATATAAGATGGGGTAAAGTGATACCGAGCTGAAGTACAAAGGAAAAAGTGGAATTTACCCAAAAATATATGTTGTTTTTACCAAAAACAATACAAAAAATATGTTTTACTCTCAATTCATTACAAAAATGTACAATATGGGTTTGTAAATTTCTTGATTGTATATATAATGTCAAAAAAAAACATTGCATATGAAAAAAATGAATAAAACTATTTTATAAGATAATAATATATGGGGTTTTTGTGTATACGTTCCCAACCAAGCATCTTTAGTATTCTAAGTTTAGGGGTTATATCTCTTTCACCAATAAGTCCATCCCTTTAATATTTATTAAAAATAAAGGAAACATTTATGTATATTACAATATTACCCCCCAACCCTTTTATACTAAATTCTTAATTGTAACCCCAATTTAATCAATTTTGTCCACAAAAATCCAATTTTGACTTCTTTTTTTCAAAAATAAATTTTTGCCGCCGGATTCCGACGTTAACTTTTCGATTTTTTTTTCTGGTCTGTTTTTTTCCGCTGCCGGATTCTGGCGTTGACTTTTTTTTTGGTTTTTTTAAGTTTTTTTTTTTTTTTTTTTTTTTTTTTTTTTTTTTTTTTAACGTCCGCCGCTAAACGTCGACTGTAATTGTACTGTCACTGATAGTAAATTAACGTACTTATACTGTAAATGAAAGTTAATTAACGTAATTGTACTGCCGTTGTCAATACATTTATGTTAGCCGCACCCACGAATGATATAAATACTACTGTTGCTTTGGCTTTACTTACGTCAGTGGCATATTTCTATGCAGGTCTTACCAAAAAGGGATTAAGTTATTTCGGAAAATATATTCAACCAACCCCAATCCTTTTACCCATTAACATTTTAGAAGATTTCACAAAGCCCTTATCACTTAGTTTTCGACTTTTTGGGAATATCTTAGCGGATGAATTAGTAGTTGTTGTTCTTGTTTCTTTAGTACCTTCGGTGGTTCCTATCCCTGTAATGTTCCTTGGATTATTTACAAGTGGTATTCAAGCTCTTATTTTTGCAACTTTAGCTTCTGCCGTTGACAGTAAATTAACGTAATATTATTATTTTTTATTAATTTTTTTTATTTTGTTTGATTTGTTGACAAGTCAACGTAATTATATTACTGTCGTTGACAGTAAATAACTGTAAACACAATAATATTACTGTCAACAACATCAATATTATTATTTTTTTGGGTTTTTTGTTTTGGTTGAGTTATTCACGGAGTAACGTAATAATATTACTGTCTATTATTGTAATATTACCGTAAACACAATAATATTACTGTGGTTGACGGTAATATTATTGTTGTTATAGTAATATTGCTGTCAACCACATCAATATTATTATTTTGTTTGGATTTTTTTTGTTTGTTTGAGTTATTCACGGAGTAACGTAATAATATTACTGTCTATTATTATAATATTACTATGGTTGACGGTAATATTATTGTTGTTATAGTAATATTATTGTCATTCACAGTAATATTAATTCTTTGGGCTTTTTATTATGTTTACATTTGTTGAACGATCAACATAGTAATATTACTTTATTACACAATAATAATGAGTTTTGTTGTGTTAATATTACTGTGCTGGAGATTAATATAGCAATATTACTGTAGTTTAGTTAATTTTACTGTGTTTAACAGTAATATAGTTAATATTACTGTCAATCACAGCAATATTGATGTTTAAACGAAATAAAAATATTACAGAAAAAAAAAATTGAAAAGTCAACGCCGGAAACCGGCGAAAAAATCCAGAAGATTTTTTTTTTTTAAAAGTCAACGCGAGAATCCAGCGGCAAAAATTTTTTTTTGAAAAAAAAAGGTTTTGTGTCAAAATTAAATAATTTGTGAAATTTGGGGTCAAATTGAGGTTAAATGAAGTTAAGGATGAAATTGGAGTATATTAAAGTATAAGGGAATATTTTAGTCTTTTACCAAAATCTAGACCATATGTGGATTTATTTGTAAATAAATTTTTTATCTGAATCTCTTTATAAATAAGTACCCATTATGAGTTTATTTGTATTCACCCCATAATATATTATAAACCATTTTCCCCCCAATTAAATGACATGAAGTTGTCAAAAAGGTTGTTAAAAGTTGTCAACGATGATCATTTTATTCTGGGAGTCCTCTAGTCAACATGATATATTCTCTATAATGCAAAACCGTGGAAATATACATAGCCTAAATAATTAGTCACCAAGTTCTAGAATTCTTTTGATATATTATAAATTTTACAAAACCATGACTTTAATTTAATTAAAAGTGTTGGCATTCAGACTTATTACATTTATTTATTTATTAATTTGTTTATGGGAAAATATGCAATACTTCCTCAAATGAAAAATATTTTGAACTAAATTCGAAAAATATTTTGAACTAAATTCAATTGACTTTTAGAGACTTTTGTATACACTCAAGTTTCATTCTTCATTAGTGAAACTCCCCTACCAGACATGATAAGACTAAAGTGCTCTTATGTGCTTAGGTTTCTAATGTGATACAATTTTATTTCTCTTTCACTTCCTCTTTCTCTCTCTCGTTCTCAATTTCACGTCTTCTTCTCCTTTTTTTTTTTTGTCCTTCTTTGTGCAGATCTGTATACCTGCCGGCGCACTCCTTCATCTTTTTCACACCACCGCCGTAGTCCGCTCACCATAGCCACCGTTGTTCGTGCACTCGTCACCGCCGGAGCCAACAATACCTTTCAACCGCCGGTCTGCCGAAACCTAATGCAGGAGACCCTCCTCTGTACAAGTGGTGGCGGCGGTGCTCCCCCACCTCGTCGCCGCCCTTCGTCGGATGTGTTACATGGAGATTTCCCTTTTTCGTTCTCTCTCGATTTCTCAATTTTTTTATTCCAGATTTGTTCACCACCGCCACCGTAGCCACGCCCCCACTCTCTTTTTCATTCACCGTCGTTGTCGTCACCTCCCTTCCCTCCCTTTCGTTATTTCGATTTTTTTTTCTCTCCATATCTGAAACAGCAGCATCAACGTGATTACGTTGGTTCGAATATGACTATTGTTGATTAACTCGATTAGTGATTTATTATTTTCTCGTGTTCGTTGCCTCTCTCGATTTCTCTCTCTTTACATCACCATCGTCTCCAAATAGATTTGTACACCACCGTTACCGTCGCCGCTCGTTGCCGTTCGTTTCCACGTAAGGCTCTTTCTCTCTTTTTCGTTATCTTTCTCGATTTCTCAATTTTTTTTTCAGATTTGTCCACCACCACCGTCGCCGCCTCTCTCACTCTCTTTCCTTCACTACCGCAACCACCGCCGTTGTCGTCGACTCCCCATGCCTCTCTTTCGTTATGTTTCAATCTTTATTTAATATTTTTTGATTTTTTTTTCCAGATCTGAACAACAGCAGTAACATGACTATAGTCATATTCAAATATGACTATAGTCATATTTATGTATTTTTCGAATATGATTGTAGTCATATTGGAATATGACTATTGTTGAATATGATTGTACGTAGTCATATTCGAATATGTTTTATCTTCTCGTTTTTAAGTTGACTTCTAATAACTAGATTCAAAATTGTTATTTTTGTGTGTGGATTTTGATTGGATTGTTTCCGTAAACAATAGGGAATCTTCGTTGTTTTATATAATTTTGTAAACATGACTATACCACCCTATATAATCGGAATTTTTAAGTTGAAAATGTAAAAAAAATAATATAATGAAAGAATATGTCTACATAGTCACATATAGTCATATTCAACTATAGACATATTCGGAATTGTAAACCTGTCGAAAAAAAAATCAATGTTTTTGTTTAATAAAAAAGAAATTAAAAAAAATATTTTTATTAAAAAAAATATTAAAAAAATAAATAAATAAAAAATGGAAAAATAATCCGAAAATAATAAAAAAAAAAAAAAAAAAATCATATTTTTTTTGATTTGGTAGCAATTTTTTAGGAATTTTGTTAGAAATTAGATTATTGTTATAGAAAGAGAAAAAAAAAAGAATAACTGAGACTAATTATGCTAATTGATATAAGGATAGAATTGGAAATACAATTTCTAGGAGTTTATCACAAAGAAAGATGTAAGCGGTGGACATATCAACATTTATTATCTATATAAGGGGTTTCTTGCTAATGACCCCTTTATTTATTTGCATTTTAGGGCCTGCAATTAGTACAATAATTGTACAAGTAATCCTGTGAAGCAGCCAGCTGAATGTTGTCCACATTTAATTATGGAACGTGGTTATTTCTATACTACAACCTTCAATCCTTTTTCATTTCTTCTTAATTAGTGTGCCGATGCATTAATTATTTAATGAGCTAGTAATTGACAAATTAAAACCACGAGTTTTGCGGTGTTAAGTTACTCTTTGACTTTTTCCATGCTTAAAGCCAAATTCGATAACGTGTGTGTAATATATATATATATATATATATATATATATATATATATATATATATATATATATATATATATATATATATATATCTGAAATGATTTGTGCAGGCACAAATTAAACATTTAGGCACATTTTTTACCATTTCTCAAAAAACAAAAGGTAAAAAACTCAAAAACTCTCTCTACCCTTTCGATTTTCTTTCGCAAAGCCCGTGCAAATCGTCAACTAGTTCATGACAGAAAATTAAGTGAAGTGAGGGCTCTACATCTAGATAAGGATTCATTAATTTCTCCAAACCTTACATTATTAATCCATAACTTTTTATAATTGCTACTAGAATTAGCAATTTGTATTATACCATCTTATCATAACATTTTTTCTAGACCATGTCACATCAAGTGATACAAATTTCTTACATATTATTTATTCTTTATTTTATTGCTAATAGTGAGCAAAACATCTAAATGACTCGAGTTCGATCCTCTAGCAATTTTTTTCTCTGGTCGCTCATCAATTTAGTCCGTCTCATTCATTTTTATGGCTTGCAAATTATTGGAAGAAGTCGCGATTAACCTCCTCTTATTAAATTTAGATGAAAACTACATCCATTTCAATTAAATGAACCCAAATCCAACATAACTTAGATATATTAAAATCAGATAGATGTATAAAGACATCTTGTTTGCCAGCTACTTTACCCGCTATGTTCTGCCTTCAAATGTAATTTTGATATTTTTCCCCTTTGGATTTGATGAAATTTAGAGTTCCAAATTTGTAGTCATTTTTTCAGTTGTATTTCTAATACAACTTGAATCACCTGCTAGATTGAATATCGGTTGATAGAGTTATGCATGAATCAATGAACACGACCATTGCCCACAATAATTCGACTTTAAAAGTCTACGTGATTTTGACCATCTTGCAGTCTAAATATGGGAAAACTCGAAATAACAAAGTTGTAACCTTTGAATTGTTTTTCTATGCCAACTTGAATGATGAGAAATTTATGAATATTTTTTAATTTAGGATATGGATAAAAGTGAAACAATTGTTTAGCATCCAGTTAATATAAATACATTCTTATCTTAATTTGAAAAATGGAATTTATTTTATTTTTTTCTCTCCAAAGTTTTTGACCAAGTCTTCCAATTTGGGTTTCAGTTCAAAGTGGATGATTATTTCTCCAAAAGAATTGATATTATTGTTTAAGCAATTGGCAAACATTTCTCCTTTAGAAAAAAAAAAGTCAATCACAAAAATACCTATGACAAGGGCACTTAATTAAAAGAGGGACATCCAATTTTGTTGTCTTTCAAATAAATCCAGCTCATTTAAACTTATTTGCAAATAAGGAAAATCCTTTTATATATACACCAAAATTACCCCCAATTCATTGAAATCCAATTCAACTACAATTTCATGATTTACACCCAATTTAGCCCAATTTCATCAATTAACCAATTTTAACCCTAATTTCAATTTTGACCCGCCACCACCGGAGACCGTTGGTCAGCCGCCGTTGACTTTTTTTTTTTTTTTTTTTGAAAAACTTTTTTTTCCCTAAAATTTTTTTCCGGTCGGTCAACTGCCGTTGACCACCGGGTCTCCGGCGTTGACTTTTTTTTTTTTTTTTAATTTTTTTTTATAATTTTGTTTTTTCTTAAAAAAAATATTTTAATTAATATTACTGCCTTGGCTGCTAAATTACTGTCTCCGGCAGTTATTTAACTGTCGGAGACAGTAATTTAACTGTAAATTGACTTTTTTTTTTCTTCAAAAATATTTTAATTAATATTACTGTATTCGTTGCTAAATTACTGTCTCCAGCAGATATTTAACTGTCGGAGACAGTAATTTAACTGTTAATTGACTTTTTTATTCTTAAAAAAAATATTTTTAATTAATATTACTGTATTCGTTGCTAAATTACTGTCTCCAGCAGTTATTTAACTGTCGGAGACAGTAATTTAACTGTTAATTGACTTTTTTATTCTTAAAAAAAATATTTTTAATTAATATTACTGTATTCGTTGCTAAATTACTGTCTCCAGCAGTTATTTAACTGTCGGAGAAAGTAATTTTACCGTTAATTGACTTTTTTTTTTAAATATTTTAATTAATATTACTGTATTTGTTGCTAAATTACTGTCTCCAGCAGTTATTTAACTGTCGGGGACAGTAATTTAACTGTTAATTGACTTTTTTTTTTTTTCTTTAAAAAAATTATTTTAATTAATATTATTGCCTTGGCTGCTAAATTACTGTATCCAACAGTAATTTAACTGTCTTAGATAATAATATTAATAATATTACTGTCCCAAACAGTAATATTACTGTCTGAGACAGTAATTTAGTAGCCAAGACAGTAACATTAATTAAAATATTTTTTTTCTAAGAAAAAACAATTCAAAAAAAAAAAAAAAAAAGTCAACGCCGGAGACCGGCGGTCAACGGTGGTTGACCGGCTGGAAAAAAATTTCACGAAAAAAAAAAAGTTTTCAAAAAAAAAAAAAAAGTCAACACCAGAATCTGGACGGAAAAAAAAAATTCAGAAAAAAAAATTATTTTCTGAAAAAAAAAAATTGGGGGTTAATGTGATATATTTGTTTAAATCCGGGGTCAATGTGTAATATTAAGGAAGTTAGAGCATAATGGATAAAATTGATAAAAAATATATTATGGAGGGTATTTTAGACTAAAGACATGGAGATGAGTTTAATTGAGAGACTGTTTTTTTTGTGGACCAAAATGCATTTAAGTCCCATGTGATGGGCCTTTTTGCCATTCGCCCTAGTAAAAAAAGATGCGTTTGAATTAATGAAATTTATAGAAGTAATAATTTAGAAAAACAACTTTTTTCTTTTCGCGTATAGTGAAAAACTAATTCCCAATCCCATCGAAATATCACTGAAAATTTGGAAATCGAAATTCTGAAAATTATATTAGAATGAAAAAAAAAAAATATTCGAAACTCGGAAATCGGATCGAGTCGGAACGGTGGAATTTGGAAATAACTTTACGATCCCGACCCTGATTTATTCAATTGATTTGATTTCTAAAGTATTTTCGGGTTGAAAATCTTATACATCAAACGATTCGTCGAAATAAACAAGGGGCGGAGCTTGAATTCAATCGAATTGACAATGACAAAACAATATATATTATAATTATTTGATGTTATTACATATATAATTATACATCTATAATAATAATATCATTACAAATTACAACTTACAAATATACAATATAATAAATCTTCCTCCAATATGCACTAAGATATTGACATTTCATATAACGACATATGCAAACAAATCACTTTCCTAGATGACCTTATAATCCAAGAAACACCATTATACCATGCATGGTACGTATTTTCCAACTTTACACGTACGTAACTTCACTTAACAAGTCACACGCCAGAAGTATACGGCACGCCGGTGGCCGGAATCCAAGAACCTCCGGCCAAGAAATTCCCGACGGAGAATTTTCCGGCCTCCGCTGCACTAGTTATCACATGAAACCCAGGCCACTTTACCCTCCCACCGGTACTCGCCCCGCTCCCCGTGTTCATATACTCACCGTAGTAGAGAGTGCTCAAAGCAAAACTACCGCTCCACGGGAGCCAACCCGCGGGTTCAATTATCCCATCAATCGCGCATTTCATGAAAACGGTTCTTGAATACTGCTGCCACGGCCGCCCTAAGTAGCTGGGGCCCGACCCGGAGCCCGAGGCGGACGTGACACGCGAGTTGTGGATAACGATGCCTGTGTTTTCGTTCGGGTCTTTTCTTCCCTGGGCTGTGACTGTGTTCTTCTGATTGGACATAGGTTTTCTTATGTAGATGTTGGAGTTTTGGATGACCGAAACTGCGTCGCCGAATATGAAATCTATGGTCCCGTAGACATCGCAGTCGCGGTAGAATTGCCGTTGAGAGTAGACGTAGAGAGTGTCCTGATAGCCCTTGAAGCTGCATCGGTAGAAAACGGAGAAATCCGAGCCGGAGCGTAGGGCTACCGCTTGGTGCTTCTGCGGGCCCGCAGTGTTTTCGAATGTCATGTCCCTTGCTATGAACCCGTCACCGGTAACAGCTGCAAATGTAAAGAATTATTTAATTTGATGTTTAGTTAGTCCAATAATTTTAATAGGTCAGCATGTAATCGCGCGATCCGAAAATTTGTTCTTGTCAACGTAACCTTTATTTTGGCTTCCTAGAGAGTTGTATTAGACTCATCCAGTGCACCTATACAATCAGGCGCAGATAATATTGCAAATATTTTATCTTCACCAATCTTATTGCGGCTATCTAACTTTTAATTAATTGACATATATAATTGAATAGAGAGAGATATATATATATATATATATATATATATATATATAGATAGAGTGAGGAATATAGACACTATAGATATATAAAGTTCACTCTCACTATATATATAGATATAGAGAGATATATATATATATATATATATATATATATATATATATATATATATATATATATATATATATATATATATATATATATATATATATATATATATATATATATATATATATATATATAATTTGATGTATATTCTTTAATATGAACTTGACATGATGATGTGAACATAGGGCTTTAGATGGCGATATGTGTACTTAAGTCTAACCTAAACAGTTTGACAAGTGACTTTTATGTAATCTTAAGTCCAAGTACCTAAACACTTTTATAATTATACATATATATTGTTAAATTAAGGACTAAAATATTCAACAAATTCTAGTATAATTAACTTAATGATGGATCCTTATCCTCGTAACATTATTTTCACGGGGTCAAATATATAGTTATAAAAGTCTACCTAGACATCCAATTACAATACTATCATACTCGAATAATAACAAATTTTCATATTATAAATTAATAAATATATTAGGCTTTCACATGACACTATGTTGACTCCGCCACTGATGCTTCTGTTTGAAAAAGAGCAGTAAATTCAAGAACCAATATATTTTTATTAGAGAAAAAGAAGGCTCACCAAAAGTAGCGGAACGAAAGGTAGTGGAGCCATCTTGAACGTTCTTACTGCCCGTCACAACCGTAGAATCAATCCCATCTCCGATAAACATTAGATTCTTCATTGATCTCTTCACCTCCACGTTTTCTTTATAAACTCCCTTCTTCACGTATATAACGAATCTCCGGGTCCCACTCCTCTGCTTCTCCGCCGCAGCCAGAGCTTCGTTAATGGTCTTATAGTTCCCGGAGCCATCTTGCGCCACCACAATATCGCCCTTCGTCGAAGATTGAAGCAATCTACGGTCACCATGCGAAACCCATTCAGGGAAATCAACGGTGCTCAATAAACGTCGATTTCTCTTCTGCTTCGTCGTGTACGACGAAGCAGAAGCCGTGGCTTTATTGATGGCGAGTGAGTTGCTAAGGTACTTCGAGAAGTCGTCACTCATTAGCATCATCGAGAAGGATAAGTTGAAATCAAGAAATCCATTTCGGCATGCTTGTTCGTTCGCAATTGACGAACTCAACCATGTTTGTGCGTCGTTTTTCGACCCGAAGATGGACCTGTTGAGTTGGTAGATTGTGTCTTCGTAAAGATCGAGACAATCTACCGATGCTAACTTGGATAGGTCATCGTTGAATAATGAACTTAGGTCCATGTCTGAAATTTTCTTGTGGGCATTTTCGGCTTGAAGTAAAGTTGCCCTAAGGCTTACGTCACGAAAAAGGGTCAAACTTTCGTCGAAGGTTGACTGAGGGGTGGGGCTTGTGGTGAGAGAATTGCATAGTTCTGGGTAAGGGGTTTGTGTGCAAATTGGATGATAAGTGGCAGAAGAATTTGCCACACATAAGAGTATTATTAGTAAGAATGGTAATAATAGAGGAATATGATGTTTATAATCCATGCAGAAAATAATTGAAGAGGGGTTTTTAATATTAAAAAAAAAAAGAAATTGAAATGATTTGATGATGCAAAAGAATTGGCAAAATGGAGTCTTTATATAGGGGAAAGGTGGCTTTGACTTAAGGAGTCGTGTAATAATTTACATGTAAGGAATTGTTTTGGAATGCATGTACATATGTTATATTGAAAACGATGAATTGGCCAATGGTTATGCATATAATGTGATAAATATATAATTTATCACATTTTTATTGTGCTCGTATTATTTTTAACTATTTAGTTTTATTAATTTTAACCGAAGAGAACAAAGAAAAATGATAAATGCGTATAATAAGTTGGATAAATAAATTATGAATCATGGCTTGAAACAAGGGGCAAATCGATCAACTCTCAATTGATTTTTTTTTTACTATACTGTACATATATATATTTGCTTAGTCCATCCAATTTTTATTATTTAATCCATCCAAAATTCAAATTAATTATTAAAAAAAAAAAAAAAAAAAAAAACCCTAAATTTTTTTTTCTTTCTTTTCTTGTCTTCTAGTTTTGGCAATAAAAAGAATTCGAATATTTTTCTTTTTAGATATGCTGTGCACGTACACCAAAAAATGTAAACTCACCATATAACAATATCTTAGACTCGCCAACTCTTAGAACAATTATAATTGTTATTAAAGTTTTTTATATTATTTTTTAATACATATTCGATCTCCAGTGAAAAGATGCTGGCTTCGCCACTGTGTATCTATAATCCTTGGAAAGAAACTTTTAAGTTTTTTCATTGTTTTTGAATGACATAGGACTTTGGATGGCCGCCAGGTTATGAAACCACACGTTATCGTATTGGCAGCCAATTAAATCTTTTAATTAATTATTTTTATGTTTTGTGAATGGCTAAGGTTTGGTAAACAAGAAAGTGTAGGGCTTAACTGATAATGAAATTGTACCTAAAATAATATAAATGAAGACTTTAATTTAGACTAATTAACATTAATCAAACACCTCACCACAAACTAAAATCCCCAAAACCACTTAAGGCTTAATTAGTTGTTTAAGTGCAATTGGATATGGGGTTTGGGTTTATTCGAATCCATTTAAGTGCACGTGGTCTAAGTACTTTTTTAAAGACAACTTAAAAGCTCTAAATATATATTTCCTTTTTTTTTTAATAAAAAAATATCAGACGAATTTTAAGAACTTATAAGCTATTAAGAATTATAAAGTGCCCCGCAATGGATGACCTAGCGGTTGGAGCAAGTGAGTCTGTGTCAATTGACCCAGGTTCAAATTCATTTGTCAACGGTCGTTAGGTGGAGTTAGTCACACATGGTTTGTGGTTTACGTCTCTCGTATGGCTTGCAAGTTATACGAGAGTGTAAGTTTACTCAATGTCATCTATATGGTTGGTGCGGATTTCTTCATTACCAAAAAAATAACTACAAAGTTCCTTAGTCTAACGAGCGACGAACAACTAATAATGTACGAACATTATTTTGTATCTTATCTCCGAACATTACACATATATTATGTATTTAGCCCATCAAAATTTTATAATTTACCTCAGCAAAATTTCAAGTTAATGCCAAAATAGTCTTGATTTTTTTTTTCTCTTTCCTAGTTTTGTAAATAGAAAAGGTCATAAATTTTGTCTTGAGGGCTAAACTAGCCTAGCCAAATTCCGAATTAATGCAAGTGCTAAATAATTTTATTTTCATATTTTCTAGTTTTGTAAAAAAAAAATATATATATATGTTCTAATTTTTTTTTCAAAGTATTGCCCTTGAACCCTTCAAATTTAAGTTCACTCTTTAATAAATATCTGGATTCACCACTGTATATGTCCTAAAATTACTGTATATGTCCTAAAATGTAATCTTCATACGTACAATTATGTTGCGCACATAATAATTAAGTAGGACGGACGCACAAACATATTTTTTTCTTTTTAACTAAAAAAATGTAGTTTACCAAGTGCATAAGAAATGGCTCATAAATTCTTATATATATATATATATATATATATATATATATATATATATATATATATATATATATATATATATATATATATATATATATATATATATATATATATATATATATATATATATATATATATATATATATATATATATATATATATATATATATATATATATATATATATATATATATATATATATATATATATATATATATATATATATATATATATATATATATATATATATTTATATATTTGGTTAGGTAAGTAACCGAATAGAAGTCAATCCTGCAGGGAAAAGCAAAATTTAAATACTTACCAAATATGTAGCAAGGACATGTGAAAATGGCATATTAAAAAAATGGGGATACGACAGTTTGAAACGTGTCAATATTAAAAATTATAGGGGTATATTTATAAATATACTATATAAAGATATATAAGTTTTCATATATCTATTAACTTTTTCATACAAACATACTCAAAATATATTTTAATATCAACTATCATTTTGCAATTGGTCATTAAATCATATAAATAATTATGAATACAATAAAAAAATATAAAAATTTGCTATTCATACATGTCTCGAACTCTTTAGAAATTGTAAAATGACCTATAAAGTGTTCGGCAGGTGTCCTCGAGTGACAGACACTAAATGTGTCTAAAACGCAAAATCATTAAGAAGCTGAAGTTTCCGTGCTACATAGATTATAAATTTATAACAGACAAAAAGAAAACATGAAATGATCCTTTTGGTTCATTAATATTAATTGTTCCACAAAATCATGTACAAAATCTGCCGGATTGTAATTGTAACGACATTATCACTGATAAAATTTCTATTAGAAAAATGTCTCAATGTGCTAAATTTCGGCAATCTTGAGAATAAAAATTTGATTTAGTTGTTTAGTTGATATTCATTTTTTTTTTCTTGAAATATTTCGAAAAAAAAAAATCATAAAAGATCGTGAAATTAACGAGTAGCAACATTGGGATGGAAATTCTGATAAACGTGGCAACATTAAAAAAAAAAACCTTATTATGGTCACCGTACATATAAGCAATAGGAATCCTTGAAAATCGTCGGAAAAAATAAAACAAAATAAGTAATTAATTGAATTTTCCCTCTTCCATATATACTATTTTTATGTCGTGTTCTTCTTTATGTATACATGTACATAAGCAGAATGGTTATCCGGGAAAATCACCAAATGTAACATCAATTAAACCTAATTGGTGTGTGATTTTGGATAAACTAAAGTTCATGCACGTACTTTCTCATATCCATTTTGCGTTACAAATTTGACAATTTTGGCACCCCTAAACCCAACCTTCATTTCATACTATATATCTATTTTGTGAAAAAATCCAACAAAACGATTCCGTGATACAGAAAATTATATATATATTAATGTTCATCTTAATCAGCTTATTTGACTAGCATCTTTTTCCCTTTTCCGAAACTAATTTTTGATAATTTTGATAGGATCAGTGGCGAAGCGACCATAGCTGCATATATAGGGTCGGGGGTCATGCCCCCAACATTTCTTAAATCTCTATAATTTCTTATATTTTATATTATTTTTCTTAAATCTCTATTATTTCTTAAATCACTATTGGTCCCCTTCATAATTTTGTTAATGCATTCGAACCACGGAACTTAAAATTATGGCTCTGCTCGTGAATATTATATCTTTTAATAGGAAATGTAGTGAGCCGGCTTCTGATTGGTTAAACAAGGAAAGGCAAGTGAGTCAATATATAGGTTTGCCTACAATTGTCTAATTTCCAGTACTGGAGTTGTTCTGCTTGGACAAGTAACTTAATTTGGTTTCACATTGAGGACTAAATCGTCAAAATAAAATGTACATACGTAGTTTTAACTTTAAAACCAATAATTGAAATATTAATGTTTCATTCAAGCCCACAAGTGCATGCATGGTTTGTAGGACAATAAAACTACTAAATCAATGAGATATGGTAGGATACAAAGTTTAATTTCTCCTTCTCTTGATACATTATCACACCTCCAATATTATCCATTTTCCTTGCGTAGTTGCGTAACATTAACAAATTTATAATCAAATTAATCTGAACATGGAGAACTATTTACCATTTGCATTTCATGGACAACATGAATATCGACTTTAATTTTAACTCTTATGATTTATTAGTATCGAATAACCACTTAATCTAAGAGTATAATTGGTTAGTGTGGATTCAGAAGAATCATTTGGTATTTATGTTTCTGATGTGCCAAACGAAGGGTGGAAATTAAACCCGATATATGGACCAGATCGAAACACTTTCTAGAATACTATTTTTCGAAAGTTACAAAATATTTTCAGTCATGTTCCAAAATTGGATAATTTCTAATTGAAATCATCGTATTTCGGATTTTCAATTATTAGTCACATATAATACAACAACATAATAGTATTTAATTATACTATAAGCATAA